AAGAATGTTAATCTGAAATAAAACATTGAAAACGCTTGTTGCGTGCAGTTTTCTTAAGTTGCATTTGCTATTTATGGTTTAGGTACCGCATAGGGACATCCACCGGTCAGTGTCCAAGCAAAATACCTCTGAGGATGGAAGTCACCTGTGCTAGCGAAACGCTATGACGGCCTAAAAGACCGAAAATCTGACGAGATTGTCATTTTTGAACAGACCGTTTAAACTTTACACAAAACTTTAAGAGTATAAAAATCAACTGTTTTGAGTAGTATTTTCTAACTATAAAAGAAGTTGAGGAGTTCTAGTGACGGAAACTGAAAATTCCTGGTTAAACGGTGTCCGAATTAGGTAGAACTTTAATAATGCTTTCGTTTTTGTTTCGTACATTAATGAGGTAACTGAAGTAGGCCTGGGAAACATTGTGTTGAGTTGCAGCTCTCTGAGTTAATGAGAAAAATACCTAAAGATTGTCAGTAGTTTTCAGGAAAACTAGAAAATAATGCGTTTTTTGCGAAGACAGAATTACCTAAAAACACTTTGCTAAAACTGGAATGACCTGAAATTTTGAAGAAACTCTAAAAATCTTCAGAGCGATGAAGGCGGCGAATTTTCCACATTATTTTTTGGAAACTTTTGCTCTGACCATTTTTTCAAGATAATCTTAATTACTTTCCGTAAAAAACTAAATAAAATTATTTGGTTTTTGTGCCAAATTCGAAGCTGAAAAGGGTTTTCTAAAGTTATTAGTACATTATTGTCAGAAAAGAAGAAAATCATCAGAAAATTATGTTTTTCGTTTTGCATTAACAATTTTTAGTTTTGTGATCGGTTTTTGCGAAAACCTTAATAGTTTTCGGGGAAAAACGGGATAAATTTATTTTCGTTTTTGATCAGAATTCGACTCCAAAAAAAGTTTTTGCAAAATTCCTACAAAGCTATAAATATATTTTGTCATTTTTGTCGTAAAATACATCCAGATCGTCAGTATGTTTAAGGAAGAGTGGAAAGTAAAGCAAAAAAACTGAACTACCACATTTTTTAAACAGACTCAACAGTCTTCAGAGGAATGTAAGTCACAAGTTTTCCAAATAATTTATTATAAACTTTCGCTTATTCATTTCGTTTTTTTGATAGAAAATTATCTGATTTTTGTCCCAAATTGAAGCTGGAAAGGGATTTAAAAACTTTTTACAAAGCGACGAAGGAAGCGAGTGTCCTAATAAAATTTATTTCATAATTTTTCAGTATTTTTAAGTGAATCTTTTGAAAATTGAGCATTTGGAAAAAATAGTCACTTTCAGAACTGAAAAATTTTGAAATGTTCAAGAAATGATACAAATATTTTATAAATGGACCTTAAAATAAATCTAAAAGCAAGTAAAAAGGTCATCAACATTTTCCCAGCAACGGAACTGAGTTACTGTGCCGTTGGCGTACCAAGCCACTTGCGAGGCACTGCGCCAACTCCTAAAAATTTATTGAGTTACCCAGGCCTAAACTGCAGCAAATGGAAATGTGCGGACACGCTCTTTTATCTTGTAAATAATTGTAGGTATGTGTGAAGGAATCAGAGGCAACAAAACCGCTAATAGAAGAACTACTAACTGATGATTAAGGCGCATTCAAGATGATTTTTTAAGATACCTATTCTGAATAGATTGATTACGGAAATAAATTCCGGAACCTAAATCCTGGAGTAAAAAGGCCAACTCGAACTATTTTCTGTTATTTTTCCATCACTCGCCTTGCTTCGAAGATCGAGGACATTGAAAGGTTTTTTACGCGTTTTACTAAGTCGATTAATTTTAAAAAACAAAACAAAGAAGCAAAATGATTCAGATTGAGCAAAAGTTCAGAGAAACTCTGCAGGGGTTTTTATCGAAATTCGTATTTATTGTTGAAGTTTTGAAACAAAAGCAGAGAAAACGGCACAGAAAATACACTTTTTCAAAACCTGTGCGGCTGAAATTTTGGGACTATTAGTAGGATCCCTAGAGATATTTTTGAGCCGAATCTTTTGAGCCTCAATCACTGGCTCAAAACGTACGTAACGTAAGGAAAAGCGGGAATAAATCTTATTTTAGCGCCTTCTTGCTTTGAAGCGATGCGATTTAGGGAACATTTTACACAATGTAGGGACATTATTCTGAGTTGTTCCATCGACTGGCAAAGTTATCAGTTTTAGACCTAAATCACCCTGTAGGTATATGGAATGAATCCGACTATTTTTCAGGGTTATTCAAATGTCCCACATTTCCCAAAAGCTCTAAAACATGTAACTTTACATGTTTTTAAAACATGTAATTTAGCAAAACATACTGAGTTCGTTAAAAAATCAGTTTTAATAGTTATATTCAAAAAATTCATATCGAAACAAAGGTTGTTTGTAAACTTGTTTCGCGGATCATACTTTTATTTTGCTGATATGAAGAGAAACATTGAGTTCCTACTGGCGGAAGTTTGGAAGTGTCGCGTTAGAACAAGTTTCCTGAGTTTTACCTCCAAGTTCAACAGCTTCTGAAAAATGTCCCAATGGTAGAATTAAAATGAAAATTTCTAGGTGTTTACACCAAGCGTTCTCATTTAAAGTGGTTGTTTTGGAAGTTTTTGATTTAGCCAAACTACAAGTTTGAACGACTCTTTTAGTGAAAATGTAGTGGTTGCCAATTCATCAATTTCTAGCCAAAACTTTATTTTTGTTGTCCCAACGTGCAAGTTGCTCTTCCCCGAAGTTTGTAAGTTTCGAGTGGGTTTTGAATACGACGACAAGTTTCGCGAATTTTAGGGCTAAGTTCAAGAACTGCTGAAAAATGAACAGACGCCGGGATTTCATTTAAATATTCTAGGGTTTTTCCACAAACTCCATCCTTTAATGAGCCAAAAAGTTGCTGCATTGATTAAAAGGACCCTTAATTTTTGCTGAAAATCTAATGGCTTGTCAAAGCTCACTGAATACTCGCATTCGGATGAGATTTTTTTGAGTTTTAACTAAAATGCTCGGGTTTACTGTGTCAAAGTTGCAAGTTGCAATTTTCCGAAGTTTGGATTTTTCAAGTTTTTTAGCCCTGTCACAAGTTTTGTGTTTCCGAATTTTACTTCTAAGTTCAAAGTGTTCCGAAAAAATAACCGATGCTTCGATTCAATCCCAGTCTTCTCAACCTTAACCTCAAGGTTTTTCGTTTAGTGTGCGAAAATTTCCAGTTCTTGTTTCAACCGGTTTGGAAGGTGTTTTCTTTGTTCAGCTGAACTAGGAACTGAAGTGAGGACGATTCTTCACTTCAGCTACACATCTAATGGATCAATGAAAACGCAGCCAATTTTCGGATCCTCTAGCAATGTTTTCACAGTTTTCGCAATTTTTCTTCAGCCAAAAGATTTGGGAATTTCACGACTAAGAGCGTCCGAAAAATCAACCGATGCTCAGACTTAAATAGAAATTTTTCAATTTTTACCTGAAGCTTTCTGGTTTAGTGTGCTAACATTTCAAGTTGCTGGTTGAATTTATGAAGTTGGGCATGTTTGTTGACAGTTTTGAGACCGTTGAAAAATGTGCAGAAATTTTTCACAATTCACTATAATTTTCAGCATGCTCAAAGGCCGCAATAAATTGGACAATTTATCGAACGCAGCACGTTTCCACGCTTTATGCTCATATCTGGTGACCAACACCGCTCTTTAAACATTTTTTTTACTTTTTAGTTTAACAACTCTCCCCGTGACTGAAAGAAGCAAATGTTGTAAAATATCTGCCAATATTCTTATTGCCTGTTAATAATTAAAATTTCTTTTGCCATGAAGTAATGAGACCAAAGGGAGGGGGATTTCCAGATCTGGGAAGGTTTCTCAAAACAGGCCGGCAAAACATTCTCCGTGTTTTTTCGAAAATCGCATTCTAATCAAAAGTTTGTCAATTTCTTAAAAAATTGCCTTGATTTGCTTGAAATTGTCTACACCTTAACAGTTCGGTGTATTCTATAAATGATCAATAAAGCAAGTCACTACGTACGTGGATTTAGACGTGATGAATTTTGGACATCCAGTTTGCTTAGGAGCTTTAGTGAGTATCAAAGGAAAGTTAGTTAATTTTAGCGTTTAGCGTTTTAATGTTGCCGTTGTTTGCTTGAAAATTTGTTCATCATAATAGGCCAGTGTCTTCTGAATCGGAACATCGGAGAAATATAAGCCGGGCTGCATAAAAGCGTTGGTACGTACCAAAAAAAAATCACCAACTCCTGAAAGCTCTCCCTGCAGACGTAGCTTTGGAAATACTTTATACGGTCCACATTTCAACACAAGGAAATAAATTGAAAATTAAATTTGAATACCCTAAATTTCCTCAAAAATCAATCCCTAACTCAAGGATCTCCTTTAGTAACAGCGATTGAAAGCTTTTTTTTTTTTTTGACGTGACGAGGTTTATAAGAAGGAGGAAAGTCATTGAAAATGTAAACATTTAGATCGCAAAATGATGCAAAATTGGCCAATCGCTCAACTGATGAACTGAAAGTAAACTCTAATTTGGAAATTGTCAATAGTATCGCCTTGTGGTGAAATGCGGATCTCAAAAATTGCTTCCAAGAGTTTCCCATGACCATCTAGAAATAAAAAATGCATCCTTTAATGTGCATCTTCAGTGCTTTTTGAGAGATACCCGGTGGCCACCCTTAGCAAAATGCATACAAACATAAATCCGATTAAAATTAATTGTTATAACTGGGACACCAAAAAATCCTCCGTTCAACCCCCCGGAAAGTCGCATTTAACCCTAACTTTAACGGCTTGTTTTCCAAAAACTGTCCACTTTTGGGTTATACAGATTAGACCAAATTCTCCTCATGTTCAGCTCTCAGAAATATCTGCTCAAATTTGGCACAAGTATTTCGTAAACACCCTGTGTATTTGAATTTGAAATGAGCCTCACGCAGGCTTAAGCGGTAACTTGAAAATAGATGAAAGAATTTTTTCAATTTTAGTACAACCTTCAGCCAGAGCTTATCCTTCATAAACCGATATAAGACGCAATGACATTCTTACATTTTTTCAGGTTTTTTTAGCAATTCTAATCGCATCCTAATTTGTATGCATAGTAATATGCTTACATTAGCATACAACAACATCTTCCAGTCAAGCGATTTGCATTCAGTTTTTAACACCGATTCGACATGAACGCATTTTCGTGGACTGCAGTGTTAATTCTGCTGGTCATATGGACCATCAGCAGGTACAGGAATTTGTGCAGATCCATGCTGTTGGCTCTTCGGTTGCCTGGTCCGCCTGCCTGGCCGATTATCGGCAACATTCTGCACGTGACAGACACTAAAGGTGAGTCTTTGTATTCATCCGAGAAAATGCGCTTCAAGTGATTGCTCCAGCTCAGTTTGAGCTTGCTAATAACGTCAGCCAGTTTGCTCCTGTTGTGAGAGTGTGGATCTTCCTCTTGCCGACGATTCTGGTTTATCAACCGGATCATCTGAAGCTGATCCTGAGCAGCACCAAAGTGGCTGAGAAGAACTATTTCTATCAGCTACTTCAGACCTTCATCGGCAATGGCATCATCATGAGCACAGGTTTGGTCTAAGTGCTTCCGTTATCTGCATTCATATCTTCATTCCTTCAGGCGACAAATGGAAGAAAAACCGCAAACTCATCCAGCCAATGTTCCAACTGGGCCAAGTCGAGCGGTACTTTGAGGACTTTGCACGTACTGCAGAGACAGTCTTCAGAAGCCTACACACTCAGAAGCACTGGCAGATTACCAGGATAGTGAACAATTGCGTTGTCAACATTTTGCACAGTAGGCGATAGCACACCATAATAAACCTTTGTTTGATGTAAAGTGTTCAATTTAGAGACTATTTTGGGTGTGGATTTGGGTCCGGAAGATGAAACGCCTTTTCGAAAGTAAGTGGTGAAACCCGGGTGAGTTTTGTGTAGGAATTGCGGAGTTTCAGAGGGGAGTTGCTGATTATCAAGAGAATACTGAAGCCGTGGTTGCTGCTCGATTCCATCTTCAAGCTGTCCGATATGTCGAGGACTGAATCCAGGCATAAGCACGATTTGCATTTCTACGTTAAGAAGGTGAGTTTCTGCTTAGTGAGCAACTGAGTCGTTTCTACCGGAAAGTGATGACGCAAGTAAAAGTGTAAGTGCATAGTTTCTTTGTGATGTGATGGATGATTTTTGAGTTAATTGAAGCGTTTTTCGGGCCATTTTCTTTATGCAAAACCTGGTTTCTTTACCCAATTGTCAACCTACAACATGATGAAAATCTTTTCCTTGGGAATTGGACTCTTGAAATCACTCATTTTTTAGGTTTCCATCGATTTTATGAGTTTTTTCATTCTTCTAAAAATTGGTCTAAATTTCGGATTTTGATTAAGGAAGCAATTTTTTCTTCCGGATTTTGAGCTGCTGAATCCAATGTTCCCTCAGTTCTTCGGAAAATAGTTATAAGCAAAAATCCTCGAAAAATGTGGAAAAAAGAAAATGAAATGGTCTGTAATATGTATTTTTGATCGTATCTAAATCACTTCACTTCCAGGACAAAATCCAGGAAAATCCAATGAAAAGGGAACGAGAAAATTGTTAATTTACGTTCGAGGAAAAATATTCCGGACAATCGACGTTTGAAAAACTAAGTCAGCCAGAGGAACTCTTGAGATAACAGAAACAATGACACAGAAGGACAGAAAAACTATATTTATAATTAAAAAAAATCAAATTTCAAGTGTAACATAGAAAAAACCCATTGAGTTTAGTGCAACCTGTAGTGATTTTGAACAAGGAATGTCTTCTAAACGGGGAAAAATGTTGTTCAATACGAAAGAAGCTGTTTTGCGAATAAAAAAACGCAAATTTGTTCAGTGCAATATGAGTTAAAAATATTCCAATCGTTCGTAAAAAGCTCTTATAAAAAATAATATATAGTGTAAATGACACGATTACGACAAGGAAAATTGCCAAAAACTATTGCCTTTCCAAGACCAAATCGAAGCAGATTAACAAGAATCGAACGACACAAACTGAAGAAAAAATCTGCCTGATAAACTGACTGATAAACAAAACAGAATAGAAGAATAAAATGAATTTGAGATCGCAAGAAATTCCAAAAATGGACAGTGATCTATTCTTAATTTTAAAGTTATTGAGTTCAAGTGACGCAGAGTGACGAAGAAAAAATCAACACAAAGCAAAATCGAGTGAAGAAGAAAAAATTAAAAAACAAATTCAGATTGTTGTAAATCGGGTGTGATTTTGGGCACGCCGTGGTTGATATGTAGACAAAATAAGCGCACCACTGGGCTCAGCAGCAAAAAACACATGGACAAATCAATAATTTAATACGAAATTGATTCTGGTCGTTACAGGTCTATTTATTGCCTTCCTTCCACTAATTTTTCGAGTTTTATTTTTAATGAGACTTCTATAATGAAAATGTGAAATTTAGATCGGCGTTTAGAAGAATGAACCAAATTAACATCTTTTTTCCCATGTAAAATCAGTAGAAAACTTAAACTGTTTTGAGGCACGTGGTAAAATGATTTTAAAAGTTCAATCGTTATTTGCGCAGATTTTCTAGAGTCTGTAAAAAAGACTTTCACTCACAAAAGAAAAGAAAATCTATATAAAATAGTATCAATCTTTTATACTGAGGAATTGTAGGCTTTCCTTCGGATACATAAAGAGGATACAAAAAACCATGATCGGTTCCTTAAAAAAAATTACAAACCCTCCACAAAGAACCTTAAGAAACGCCGCTGAAACTTGGTTTTTACTAAATCAATAACTTTAAAGTAATTAGATAATTTTTTATTATGATAGATTCTGCATCCAAGTTGCAATGCCCTCTTCTTATCCTTTTTCCATTCCAACCTTTCCTCGGGAGCCTGTCTTTTGTCAGACATCTTGCATTTGCGTACCATGTCAAATATTAATGCTATTCTTCAATGTCATCTACAATGGTTTCTCATTCAATTGTCTTGTTATGGCCTCATTTCTCACGTGATTTAACTTAGATTTTCTCGTCACTTTTCTCTAAAAAATAATTTTATATCAAAGCGTTTTCTGTTTTAGTTACTTTGCTCCTTCTTTATTTTAAATTTATTTCCTATGTTTTACTCCCAAACTTTTTGTTACTTGCGTCAAGTCCGTTTTCGTTTCTCTTTACCACTTTTGCAGTTTGATCTCTGATGTTCGCGGCTTATTCCTTTTCGTGATTGAGGCAATAAATAGTTTTTTTAAACGCTCCTAAAACTATTTCCTCAACGTTAGGCACAAAAAAATGCTTTATTATTATTATATGTTTGATTGATGAACTTTTAATATTTTTTCCTTTGTTTTTTTGGTACATATTTGCAGTTTTTCTTGCAAGTGTGTTTTCAGTGCTATTCTTCTTAACTTAAATTTATTTTCCTGAGTTACGTGTCTTTCTTCCTGTTCTATGTTATTCTCTCTTGTTTTTTTAAGAATTCCTGAAACTTGAACTTTTGCATTTTCTGTTTTATTAGTTATATTTCTAATTGCCCTAACCAATTTAATTGTCTCATTTTTTTTATTCATTCTGGGAATTTTTCGTCTAATTTTATTATATTGCTGTAGTTAGCTGTGTGTATTTGTGCTCATTTTCCATATTTAAGCATTTTCTTCCATGCGTTTTTTTCCTTTTCATTCGTTCTTGTTCCTCTTATAGTTTCCTTAATTTTTTTCACTGAAATTTTGTCCTCGCATTGCTTTGATATGGCAGAGAAAATTGAGCTGGTCAATTTTCTTTGCTGGAATTGCCTGCTTTTACGATTGTTTGACATGTTATTTCAAGCGCCTTATTTCACCTTTTACTCGTTGTTTCTTTCTTACTTCAACTACAAATTTTCTTGTTCTTCGTTCTCCTTATGGTACTGATTTTTATAAATGTAATTCATAGCGATTTCTCTCCGTTTGCCTGTGTTGTCTTTTTATCAGCGCTGCTTTAAAATTAATAATTCCTTTGTCAATTCCAATTTTGTGCCTTTCACTTTCCTTCCAGTGGTTTTCAATCTAAATTAAATCGATCTCTTGGTATCCAAGAATCGTATTTGTCCACTTGTAGAAAGCCAAAAAATCTGTATTACTCGATCGAAACAACAAATTGAAAAGAGACTAATGAGACGAAAGAACAAACCAAGAACCATGGAAAATTCAACTTAGAATTTTATTACTAAAACTGTTGTAGACTGACTGAATAATTTGTATTCCTTCCAGTCTTTAAATCAGAATTTTACTAATTTGAAGAACTTTCCTATAGAATATGCAGAAGACCCAAATGAAACATTTGGAACTAAATAACTCTTGCCTGAGAAAAGCTTCAAAGTGTTTCTTTACGGACTTTTTTGAATATTTTTGAATTTGAAAATCTTCTATAGGTTTGACACGAAACATTCAGTGGCTTGATTCAAATCTGTCGCTAGGTGCTGGCTGAAAGGAAAGAAAAACTGCTGAACAAAAACGGCAAAAAATGCTTCCTGGATAACCTGATTGAACTTGAAGCCAGCGGCGATCTTCCCGAAGAAGACGTTGTGAATGAAGCAGTCACTTTCATGTTAGCTGTGCGTGTTAATGAGAAGTCAATGTGCAAAAATTATTATTTTCAAATATTTTAGGGTCAGGATTCGGTAGCAACTGGCGTGGCCACGTGCCTGTTCTACTTGGCCAAACACCAGGATGTGCAGAAAAAAGTCCATGAGGAAATCCTGGAGATTTTGCAGGGCAGTAAAGATCAAACCCTTAAGCTGCAGGACGTGAACGAAATGCGATATCTTGAACAATGCGTCAAAGAGACGCTGCGGTTGGCCCCCAGTGTGCCCCTGATCGCACGGGTTTTAACCAAGGATGTTGCTTTAGGTAAAGTGGGATTGACTCGAGGTTTGCTAAAGAAAATTTGGTTTGGCGTCTCTAGATAGTCTCACAATCCCTACCGGAACCAACATCTTCGTGTCGCCTTACGCTACGCATCATCTGCCCGAGATTTACCCCGAACCATCCAAGTTCAACCCAGACCGATTTTCGTCAGAGAATATCAAGAAAATCCATCCCTTTGGCTATTTGCCTTTCAGTATTGGACCTCGAAACTGCATAGGTGATACCTCATAGGTAAAACATCCACAACTAGAGACTTTACACTTTTTCGTTCCCTCAGGATATAAATTTGCCTACTTGGAGATGAAAACTATTGTGGCCACCGTCATCAGAAACTACCACCTCACTCTGAGACATGAAGAGGACGAGCTGAAGCTGAGCTATCGCATATCTCTGAGAGCTAAAGGCGGCATTTGGCTGAATGTACAGAGCAGGAACCTGCTTCAAGAGGACTAACTAACATTGGAAGAAAGCGTGGGGTTCAAAGATTATGTGAAATATAAATATAAACAGACAGAATCTTACAACATTATATTTTTGTAGAAAACTTCAGAGATTTTCGCCTGATTTTAAGAATTATTCGCATGTTTACGTTGAATTCCTGTAGGTTTATTATTTATACAAATGTTAATTAAGAGAGAAATAAATTCTCGAAAACAAACAATTTTGAAGATCCAAGACATTAACCCACTTATACCCATTATTGAAGTGATAACTTTTTATGGGAGTGATTTTATGAAGTGATAACTTTTTTTATAAACCGATTTTTCTCGGTCACGGCGGCTCCCACTCCGGCCTCTTCGCGCCTGAGGCTTGGGACGCACATATGCACTTTGAATTCGACATTTTTCTCTTAGTGCGGGTGCCTCTGTAGATCTGATAAAGTTTTCAAATACACACACATTGCGTTATTAAACTGACGGTGATTTTGATTTATCAATTATTGAGTGTGATATTATTGCGTTCGGTGTAGTTTATTTTATAACTCTGATAACAATGAATCAACAAATTATCAAGGAGAAGCTGCAGATACTGCAAATACTAGAGAAAGGGTGCTCATATACTAAATGCCTGTTCGAGTTTCGCCTTCTTTTAAATTTCTAATTAAAGTACACACACAATCATACACACTAAAGCAGTTTAAGTGCATAAAAATGCGGATCGTCCATCAATTTGCAGATAAATGAATTACAAACTTTTGAAAATCATCTTCAAACGACCGGGTATTTATCATTGCAAGTGAGATTGCACATTGCCGTGCACAGTTAAATATTGTTTTAAGAACTAACAATCGATGTTGTGCAACAAAACTGTGCATCAGATCCACTACAATAAAGTTTTCAAAAACTGTTGGACCTACTTTAAATCGCCTGATTGATTGTGGACGCAAATTCGTATCAAGAAAAGATTAATTTAAATTAAATCGTTTCGATAGAATTCCGGTACCGATTCCCTCTTTTCCTCTCCGTCTGTAGTCCAGATGCTGCCCTGATGATGTCCATTTGCATTATATTGCACAATTCGGTAAAATATTACTACCTACCTGTTTAGTGATTTTCATCGGAGGCAATTGTTAAACCAGATGTTGAGCGGATATTCTCTAAAGAAGGCAAGGTCAATTTATGAAAAACGCTCAAGATTAAGTGCAAATAAAGTGTCACAATTAATATTAATAACTTTTAATGCAATAATATGTTCTATTATTTGTTATTTTATTTTGTAACAACAAATTATCAATATTTAGATATCTATTTTGTAATCTTT